CCTCTGAAGACGGTGACGCAGGAAGCAAACTCGTCACGGACAGATACGGAGCAGACAAATAGATTTACATGAATATATAAGAATGATGAGATATTGATAGGTTTTTTTTTTGTATTTTATTATATATTTATGTATTTTGTCATCTATTTATTATCTTTCTTTACTTTCTTCTCTCTATACTGTAGTTATCTTAAGCTTTTTTTAAATATTTATATGTTATTTATCCTTTTAAATGAAAATGATTTATTTATTTTATTATTCTGTGTATTTGACTTGCTATTTATTAACATTAGCTATTTGTTAATTATCTTTTATTTATCCATTTATATTTCTCTGTATTTGATATTCTTTTAATAATTACTGTCTATTATTTTATCTTAGCTGGTGCTAAGAAGGCAGACTTTGGTGATTTACTGTCAGGTCAAGGATTTACCCCATCAACAAATAAGAATGAGCCACGTTCAATCAACTCAATGCGACATGAGACGCTGGTTGAAGATCTTGGACCTGACAAAGTCAAGGTAAAAGCTTTGGTTCTTGCACCTTCCTTGGTACATTAGAGAGAAGGTTCCCTCCAAAATACGCAAGAGAACATTTAGGGGGGAAATTTAATTGCTAAGGTACTAGAATGAACCTTCAGGGAGACTGTTGATTTGCACATGTTCCTCTTCGTGTGGCTGTTGCTACTGTTGTTGGTAGTGGTGGTGTTTGGGTCAATTGTCTTCAAACATAACAATAAAAGGATGGAGCCTTGGAGTCTTAGTAAATGTTTGTGACACTAGTATGCTATTTGCGTATTCACATAATAATTCCAAGTTATAGGAGTGATGTTTTCCCTACCTGACGTGTTATAGTACTAAATACTCAGTATGATCCCAAATCCTTGCAAACAATTTTGGGTGGGAATCAAACCCACGACCTCCAGGTAACTAGCCTGGTGTCATAACCACTAGACCACCAATCTTACGCTTAGTGACTAGTGTTAAACCCAATTCTTAAATAGTAGTGGGTACTGCGATGCTATTTCAGTGTATTTTTGTTTCAAGAAAATGTAGGAGTGGTGGTTTGCCCTACCTGATGTGTTATCGTACTGAATACTCAGAACATTCCCAAATACCATGGTCTAGTGGTTATGTAGGGAGTGACTTGCTGCTGTTGTCAGATTTATGCCTGCATTTTTTACTGGAAATACGACGAAGCAAATGTGTTTCACAATATGTCTACCATATTATCTACTCATAAGAAAATCCTGGTGAAATTTATTTATTAATTTAAAAGATGAATAATGTTTATCATTTAGATCAGAGAATGGATAGCTGGGAAGGAACGGAATATACGAGCTCTGATTTGCAGTATGCATGAGGTATTATGGGATGGCGAGGCAAGGTGGAAGCCAGTCGGAATGCACGAGCTAGTAACACCAGATAAAGTAAGCTCTCCTCAACAGTTATGCAATTTTCATATACCTACAACAGCATATTCAAAGTGCTAACCACATAAGATTTGAACCCTGCATCTTGGGATATAAGGCCAGCTACCATACAACAAATCCATAATTACAGATATTGGCTAAGCATCTTGTTACTCAGAAATGAAAATATAGTTCTT